AAGACAGTGCCTCTTTCACTTCGTCAGCTGACGGACTTGTGCACAGTTGTTCAGCTACTTCAGATGAAATTTGAGGGAGCCTACTTAACATTGTGGCTGTCTCGGTGGTACCGCGATGTGATGACATTGTCGTACGAGCCATGTTGGCAAAGTGAGCTAGGAAAACTGATTGATCACGTGTCGGCGGTAAGGCAGTGTGTAAGAATCTGGCCGCCGGAGTTCCTAGTCGACTCGACGGGTTCAGAAGCGAGCTTTTCGCAAAGCGCAGAACCTCAGGATGAGCACAACGATTACGTCTGCAACGCTAATTAGCCACCGTCAATGACGAAGCTGCAATGAGGCGTTGAAAACAACCCCTTAACTCTCGCTGCCATGCGCGCATCAAGGGAGTTAGTCGATCAACCCGAAGAGCAATACGCAGCTTTGTGGCAGTGTCCGCTAGTTCTTCGGACGTACGGCGTCTAAGGGCCCGCCCTGCTACTGAGCAGTGTAAACGCCACTGCGTCTTGAGCGCGTCCCACACCTCCGGACCGCATCCCAAAAGAGAGGCGCGCAAGATTCTAGATAAACTGGAGCGTGTACGCGCGTCGTGCAGAATGCGGATGTCAAGACGCCAAGGTTTCACTGATGATGAAAAGGGAAAGTGAGCCTCGAGCGTCACTGGTCGGTGGTCTGATATATAAACAGGCGATGATGGTAATGTTACTACATCAGAGTGCGATACGTAAGAAGCTAGCGCGCTCGGCACATAGAAACGATCCAAACGACTAGACGACGTGCTACGCCGCCAAGTCCAGGCATACTGTGGTCCATGCACTAGTCTGTACGTATCTGTCAAAGAGAAATGGTGCACTAGGCGACGCAGCTCTCGCGCGTTCCAATCAGAGCGACCCCATCCTGGACCTTGCACGTCAGCTCGCGTGTCCAATACACAATTAAAGTCTCCAGTGAGTATGACATGACGACCGTCTAGAAAATACACGTCCAGGTCACGGAAAAAATTGTTAGACATCGCTGCTTGAGCTGGCCCATAAATACACAAAACACGCAGCTTGAAGGATGATAGGACGCAGTCAAAAGCCAATACCCGTCCAATCCCGTCATAGAAAACATGATGATTGCGCAGAAGAGCGCGGTTAAAAATAGTAATTCCAACTCCAGAGGAGCGAGATGTCGCGAAGGAAAAATAACAGTCTAAATTAAATGCGCGTTTGAATGCACGAACGTGGCCAATGGTGAAAAAATTTGTTTCTTGTAAACACAGAATATCACAATGTTCTGCGCGGGCTATGCTGATAACCTCGGCTTGCTTTACTGGGTTACGGAACCCTTGAACATTTAAAGAAAGAATTTTCAGGGTGTCAGCCATATTGAAAAAAGGTGGGTGACTGACCTGGTCGTGTTTTTCGATTCGGTATACCCCGGGGATCTGTCCGGGGGAACTGGAGTACGTACACTACACAGCACAATTCGACCCTCTAGAAGAGGGTCGAGGTTTCTTTGGTTGCTGGAACTCGGAGCGGCTATCTTGGGTGCCGTCCGAGCTGGTGCCAGACTTGTGAGCACGCTTGACCTCTCGCGGGGCTTGCATTTCCACGTCACATCCGTCTGGGCTAGAAGGGAGTCCGATGCTACTGTCGACTTCGAGGCTGAAGCTGCTGTCGGACGAATCAGATGGTGGTAGGGCTGCAGCGTTAACGTTGTCGCCGCCTCCAACGAACTTGATCACGGATTGCTTGTCGAGACGCGTCAGTAAAGAACTCCCATGGCGTCTTGCTACTTGTTCAAGAGAGTCACGAGCCTGGCTTTCGGAATGATCCAATGGGCTTTGCTCATTCGGTTTCAATTCTGCTCCTGGCGAGACACCAGCGTCCGTAGATCTCGCAACGTCGGCGTCTTCTGGGCAATCAACTGCTAGGTTTAACGATGAGTCTGGTGCCTCAGTGCCTACCGGCGTTTCTTTCTCGGCTTGCGCCGGCGTCGAACATGGCATGACATGTTTGCCTGGGACAGACGCGAGGTCAATCGCGGTGGCTGTTTCTGTCGCTGAGATTGGCAGACGTGGCACGCTCGAGTTGGCCAAGCTGCACACTTCTTCATCGTTTAATGGAGCTCTCAGAATCGGATTCTGGCGTTCTTCTAGTACAGCTCCTGGTTCTCGTTCTTCTGTTGCCGTTGGTGACACGGACGGTAGGGCAGGAAAGGTCCCCGCAGTAGCATCAGAATATGAACGACGCACAGGGCAGACGGTGGTAGGGTGGTTATCTCCACAACGTCGGCAGGGGCGGTCGCAACCTTCGCTTTCGTGTCCGTGCACACCACAGCGACCACAGAATGGTGCTGTGCACTGTGCTCGATAATGACCACTAGAGCCACACCGACGACAAACACGTTGCAGACCGCGGTAGTCGAAGGTGACTCGATGACCAGAAACGCGAAGATAGTTGGGGACGCGATTTGTGGGACTCATTTCCATCCGGATATAGCGTGTGCCTGTGAGAACTCCGCGTCTTGCGCTCATGACGCCAGCGGTCACAGTCAATACCTTGCCGTATGGGGACAAAGCCTGGACGAGTACCTCGTTGGAGACGAAGGCTGGTAAAAACAGGCAGGCGACGTTAGTTACCTGCGGGCCGACGGGAACGACAGGGATACGCTCGCCACCGATGGTCAGGTAGCCAGCGTCGACGATGAGAGTCATGGAAGCCATGCTCTTGACAGTTACTTGGAAGTTCATGCCTCCCATGTGCTGAACGCAGTGTACCTCTGAGAGGCCAACTATTGAGGCCGTCGCGTCGACGACGGTCTCCGGACTAGTCCCCGCAGGGACGACAACGTCGAAGGCTTGCGCCTTCGAAGGCGTCCACGACGTCGATGGCGCCATGGCTAGATGAGGAGGACGTCCCTGACGTGGAACACGCAGGGACGTCAACACGGAACCCTTGGTAACACGAAGCTCCTTATGGCGTGGCTTGTGCGTCCCTCGTAGTACGTAACCACCAGTGGCACATACCCGAAATAGGTATAACATTTGACCTCCAAGGTGGTGCCGGTGAGAGATTTCTTCTGTGCGTTGTTTAACAATAAAAATAGTGCTCAATGTACATGCCAATGGCTGCTAATGGGGAATGAGAGACAGGAGCATTCGGCTTTTAGTCAACGCGCACGCTGCGATCCCCATTAGCAGCCATTGGCATGTACATTGAGCACTATCGGACAAGAAAGGGTTGCTACATTATACTCGCTGGGTGTAACCTCCTTAGCTTTAGAAAGGTTTAGCGAGCGTTGAGCCGCAGTGCCATGAATACAATGAACTAGTATATACCATGAATGAACTCAGAGGTGGTTAAAATGGGGAAGTAGATACGAAGCGCAAGCCGTAAGAAATTAAAAGCCTGAATCTCCTGTCTCTCATTTCTCATTAGCAGCCATTGGCATGTACATTGAGCACTATCTGACAGGAAAAGGTTGCTACGTTATACTCGCTGGGCGTAACCTCCTTGGTTTTCGAAAGGTTTAGCGAGCGTTGGGCCGCAGTGCCATGAATACAGTGAACTAGTATATACCATGAACTCGAGGTGGTTGAAGGTGGGAAGTAGACCCGAAGCGCAAGCCGTAAGAAAGTGTGCGTGTGCCACCTCTCGTTTAGTCCTTGGAATGTCCGCTGATGGCGGTGCTTCTATATGGGGAATATATGATAAAAAGATGCGAGATGGTGGGACTTGGAGTGTTGAATAGATGGACGAACGGACACACAGACAGATGCATGGATGGACGCATGAACGGACGCAGGGGCGGATGCATGAACGAACGCAGGGACGGGCGCACGAACAGACGCATGGACGGTCACACAGACGGACGCATGGACGGACGAATGCTTCGCCCCACTCTCCATTATTCACTCCGTGGATATGCTGCCATTTTTCTAAACACCAAGGCCCACGGGACAGCTTTATGCTCTCCCATAGTAGGGTGCATCGTACTCTTAAGTCGTTAACAACGTTTTCTACACATCCACAGTACTCTAAATTGTTACTCCTTTTTTCGTTTTCGTTTTCTTTTTTGCTTTCGAACTCATGGGTTTATTTTGTGTGGTCATGTGCGTTCTTCCGCGGTCATGTGGCCCAGATCTTGAGGCGACCACTGTAACTATGCAGCTCACCATGTTCGAACCACTCGGTGTACTTAGTGTCCCGAAAGTGGTTACTTGGGGAATATAGCATCATTTTTCTGAAGAAGAGGTAGCGATTTACAACTTTCTACGAGAGTGATTTTAAATCCGAGGTTGCGTGCGGCGTATAAAGTCTTGCTGACGTGTTCACAGTAGGCTAGACTTTCCATTGGTAGAGCTTTATTGACATGGGTTAAAGGAGTTGCACCACTCCTTTAAAGGCATTACGTTAATGACAATTACTCTACTGATTGTGGTAATACGAACACAAGAGGAGTTACAGTATAGTGGCGCAAACCCAGGCTCAATGATTATGCAAAAACCAAGTAGCTTAAATATATTGTACTCTACATACACTCTTAAATTATAGCGAGTAAAAAGAGTGTTTTTTTGTCCCACAACAATAATCGTCCTCCATATTGCATTCCATCCTTTGCTTATCGCCCCGCGCCCGGTACATTCCAGTCACGATCGACATGCCTATTATCAGGGTTACATTGCATTCTCGATAGGAAAGTGGCCAGCGCCAAGTTTTCAAAAAAGGAACCGCACGCAAGCCTGATGATGATTATTGTTGTGGGACAAAAAGACATCCTTTTTACTCGATATTTTTTTAGAGTGTACGTCCTATCATAGATACGTGCGCACAGATCACAATAAACTACGCAGGATAGTGCACTAAACTTACAATCAAGCAAAGAAAGTATTATTGACAATTAAAATAAGTGTTCTCCATTTGGTAATGACTAGAAGGCTACTGACATACTGCTCACGAGATAATAAAGATTCTCGTGCCAAAGAGAAGAAGACGACAGCTGAGTCAGTGACAATGGCGCAGCGAGAGCCGATCCAAGGTTTTATGGATGAAGAACCGGTCGCCTACGGTGAAGGCCCTTTCCAATACATGGTCGCCTTCAGCGCCTTCGCAGCCACGACGGTCTTCCTGACTCACGCGTTCAGCTTTCGAATAACGGCGCGCTCCATGGACCACTGGTGCCGGCCACCGGACTACCTCTCCAACATGACCGATGCCTCCTGGAAGGAGATGGCCATCCCCAAGGACGACACAGGCACCCACCAAAGCTGCACGGTTCTCGACCCTCCCAACATCGCCGACCCATTAGCCGTTCCCATACCCTGCTCGTCGTGGCACTTTGACCTGGAGGAGTACGGCAACACCATTGTCAGCCAGTGGAGCTTGGTCTGCCAGCGACAATGGCTCGTCATGCTAGCCGTGGCCTTGTACTCCACCTCACCCATCCTCGGGCTGCCGATTATGGGCATGGCCGCTGACACGTACGGCCGGAAGACCGTCATCTACGTGGCACTGCCCGTTGTCGTCGTGGCCGCAGCGGCAAGCAGCATGACCAGATGGTTCGCTGTCTTTGTCTTGACTCGAGTGGTGGTCTCCGTGACGTCGACATCCATTCTTGTCATCGTTTTCGCGCTCCTTTTCGAGGTGTCCTCGGGCAATCGGCGGGTCGAATACTGGCTCGTGAGCACGGCGCTTGCCTACGTCAGCCTTCCCGTGGTTTTCTTCGTGGCGAACTCGCTCAAGCTAGACTGGGACGAATTCTACCGCTGGCTTGCGGCCCTTACCTGCGTGCTGTTGCTCTTCTACTTCACTGTGGATGAATCACCTCGCTGGCTTCTCGTGAAGTGGAAAGTTCACAAGGCCGAGCGCGTCGCACTGAGGGCCGCTCGCCTGAACGGTGTCCCTGCACGAGATTGCCTCGGTAAGCTCGACACGGGGGGCGCCGAGCTTCCGAAAGTCGAAGCTGGACTAAGGCGTAGGATTTTGTCATCTGCGGCTACCACCTGAGGAGACGCACTATACTGCTGTCTTTCGTTTGGCTCGTGTTCACTGCTGCGTACAACGTGGTCAACCTGACTCGCATCATTTCTCCGAGCGCCGTAGTATCCGCTATCAATATAATTTTGATCGCGCCGGCGCAGTTACTGTTGTATCCCGTCGTACGCCTGCTTGGCGTCAAGCGCACGGCCATCGCAATCAGCGCGGTTTTTACGTTGTCGACACTCGTTCTCGCCTTGATGTACAGGGAGGAGCGGCCAGTTTATCCGGCAGTGTTGCTGATAGTCATGAGAGTCCTACTTGAGATGTTTTCTCTGGTAATTTCGATAATTACTGTGGCGGCCTTTCCAACCACTACGCGCTGTTGGGGAGCATCCGTTATCTTCGCCTTGGGCCGCCTGGGATCATTTATGGGCTTTGTGTATTCCACCTACGAAGGTGACCATAGGAAAGACATCGTGCTGTGTGCTCTGGCCGCATGCATGATATTCGTGTGCGGCGCAATAGAGTGCATGCCTGAAGACGCCGACGACCGTTCGTGGCAAGTATCCAGTGCTCGAAGCAGCGTATCTTTCCCTGGGGCCTCTGTCTTGACTGCAAAGACGGACTCTTCCATCCGGTCACTGAGAGAACAAGCCATGACAGCGCTCCACGGCCGCAGTACCAGCTTCAGTGCGCACAGTGACACTCCATCTGGACTGTCGAGAGCCCCGGCCGTGGCGTTGTTAGAGGTGCCACGTGTGAGAAGTGCGACGAAGATAAGAATGCAGGCGCGTCGAAGCGATGGAAACATAGCTCATCCCCCATCTGAAGGCCATCGTGTTAGCCAAGGGTTTTCTCTTACATCGCAGCATGACCAGCCCTGATGTCGTACTAAAAAAGCGAGCTATTTGCCGACATTGGGGCATCATAAGTCAGTATGTTTAATAAAGAATGCATTTTGGAACGCTAGTATGAAACTTCAGAAAATAGGATTCTACAATTGCGATCCCTGAAAAGGGGACTCTTTAGAGAAGCTTGGAAGCTGCGCACACAGGTTTTAAAATGAACTTTCGTTTTTTTTTCGCTGAGGCATCATTTCACAGCAAAGCTTAGTGCCGTGGTCGTTCTCGTAGTAGTAGTCACAACAGTACCACCAGCAGAATAGTGGTATTAGTATTAGTAGTAGTAGTAATCGTAGTAAAAATCGTAGTAGTAGTAGTAGCAGTAGTAGTAGTAGAAGTAGTAGTAGTAGTAGTAGTAGAATCAGTAATAGTAGCAGTAGTCACTAGGAGAAGTAGTTGTAGCCGCCACTGCAAGTCATGTAAGCAAACTGAAATAGAGTAAGTATTTAATTAAAGAGAACGAAGTGATGGCAACGACAAGCATTATTATTATTGAAGCTTCGTTGCCCAACTTTGCTATGCCAACTGGATGCATTCTTCACGTGGTTTTTGCCGAGATCACCTGTTAGTTTGCGAGTAACCGGAAGGCCACTTTTTAAGACTGCCAATAAGCGACATCCTTTCATTGAGAACTCATGATTGATTGGTGCGTTTACACGAAAATATGTTGCTACATATTTCTGTAAGCATTCGCTACTCTGAAACCAAACGGAAAATTAAATACTTTGAAAAAATTGCATTGAATGCGATAAGCTTCCTTATTTAATTTTTTGGCCTGTGGAAATATTTAAATTGCAATGAACACCTACATCAGCAAGGACGACGTCACTAACATACCAAAAACGCACGCTTTGCACTAGAATATTGTGAATTCGATTCACTGATGAAGCGAGGGGCAAATTTATCCTCAATACACATCCTAAACAGTGAGTCACTACTCTTTCTAATAAGTTTTTTTCTTCTCCATAGCAAGCCTGTGGAACTACATGTTGAAGCTTCCACACCATTCCGCTGAGACCAGCAAAGATCGTAGGGAGGGCGTCACGCGGCTGGTTGATTACGTAAACGAGACGAGGCTTGCAACGCCGATGAGCGTCTGCTCACTCGTTCTGCGACATGTTGGACCACAGTGGTTGCAAGTTCCTGCCTCAACGCAACTCCACCGGGAAGATGGGGTGAGAAGAAGACCGGCGGTTGCCAATCCAGCTCAACTGATTATGTAGTCTCGTTTAGTCAGTTTATGTTCATTTGGCTGTGAACTCGGCAGCAATAAAAGTGCCGCGGACCTTCTGATGATGAATCCACCTGAATACAATTGAGATCATCATTCAAGGAGATGATGGCGATCAAATAAATTAAATGAGCTCTGTGGATACTCGCACAATGGCAGAAAGGTTAAAAAACAGAAATTACACAAACACTATAGTCTGTTCAGAAGTCACCAGAAAATACGCACGGATTTCTTTTGAATAAAAGCCTGTTATTGCATAAAAACCTAGTTGCTGAATAACACTCTGAAAAATCTGTAGGGATTTCCTTCTTGATTCGTACCCCAAACGGGTGATTGTTTTTTTTTCTTTTTCACGATCAATAATTGCACCGATAAGAATAAAATGCATCATAGGTGCATACAATATTTAAGCTTGCGTACTACGACGCGCATGCAGCTACGTTTGGGAGTTTGAAGTTTGCATAGAGAGTTCAAGATTCAAGAATGATCAACTAAAAGTGCGGAGCAGTTTAGGGGCACTGAAACTCTTTAATGCACTGTTATATTGGCTTGGCGCTGGCTAAACTACGTATGAAAAAGAAAAAAAACAAGTGGACGCAAGCAAGAAACAGACAAAGAAAGGGAAATGTTACGAAGAAAATGGAAATAAGTATAAAAAAAGAAGAAGCAGGAAACCGGAAGGAGAAAGCAAGAGGCGAATAAAGAAAGAGAAAGCGATAGAGAAACAAATAAAGCCATCCTCCATTACTCTCAGACCGCATAGGATTTTATAAGGCGACTCAATTGTTGGCCGATCTCCAACAGTGCGTATAAGCCACAAGAGTAGGTGAACAAGAACATGTCCAGTTCTGCGCATCTTTCTGGCTTACCACTATGTGCACCCCTACATACTCGTTACAGTAGCTCGAGAGGTTGAGGTGCTGTGTTGTCAAGCTGACGCTGCGGTATTTTCTCCGTCACCGCCTCGGCATTTGATTGATTTGTGGGGTTTAACGTCCCAAAACCACTATATGATTATGAGAGACGCCGTAGTGGAGGGCTCCGGTAATTTTGACCACCTGGGGTTCTTTAACGTGCGCCCAAATCTGAGCACACGGGCCTACAACATTTCCGCCTCCATCGGAAATGCAGCCGCCGCAGCCGGGAATCGAACCCGCGACCTGCGGGTCAGCAGCCGAGTACCTTAGCCACTCGACCACCGCGGCGGGGCGCCTCGGCATTTCGATGGATGTGAAATGTAGCCAAATGAAACCCAAGAACGCTCACTTCAAAGAACTTTGGGTGGTCATAATAAATCGAAGCACCAAACTATGTCACGCCTCAAAACCACGACTTTGTTTTCTCACGTTACACTGAGAATTATTCTCTAGCTTTGCTTCAAAATGAATTATGCTATACTAGGCAGAAATTTTCTTTTCTGTTACTACATTTCTACAAGGAAGTGCAATATCACTCACGTATGTACCAGTTAATTCTCTGCATTATTGTTCACGATATGCATTACTCTATCCCCAAGTAAAAAAATTCATTCAGTCATTTGGAAGTTAATAATCAGTTTAGAAGCGCACACAAAAAAGGATTGTGAACTTTATTACTGGTGCAAAGCAATTTCTATTAGGCTTGCATTAGAAACACTTCTTTAGTGCGCGTGTTACACGACTGGCCATTTAGCCTCATTAGTATAATCTTTGCCTGAACTCGCCTGAACATTAGCGCAAAGGTGTTGTGAAAACTATTAGCCACGACTTACGAATTTTTTTTGGAAGTTGGGATAGAGTGAGTTCTAAGATATGTTTGTGTCAATTCCCCAAGTTGTTTTTGCGTCAGTTCTGCTAAGAGTTTTTTCATGTTCGTGAGTTTGGGCGTCTGTTGCACAGTTTTTCTTCCTTCACTGTAATGTGTGATCCACGATTTATGATTGAATGCAGCGTGCCTTAAGAATGGGGAAAAATTAGTCTTTATGTGGGGCGTTAGAACTTTTACTGACACATGGGTGCCGGTACGGCAAGAACAAAAACAATAACTAAAACGGGTATCTTTCGTGTCAACATCAGTGATCGTTCTTAGGTTATTCCAATTCATCTGTCTGCACTAATAGGTATGTCCAGTTACCCCAAGGTAAAGTTGCACACACATTGCTTAACCAGAAATGCCTAATCGCTCCAGAATCGGGCTTTAGCATCGGTTTCACAACAAAAGAATGTCGGACTGTTTTTGAATGACCAAACGAAAGATGCAGCTGAAGAATACGATTACCACGGCATGCACTGATTCTCTGCTACTTTGTGTTCTTGCTTGCAAGTTTATCTAGAATATACAACGCAACATGCAACCAGGCCACCTCTACGTATTCATAAACTCCACCTTTGGGAGGACTAAAGCTTCATGCTAAGCGCAAATTAACAATAAATAATGCCCTGTATAAACAGGAACATTCCCTCTACAGTGGCAGCCGACAACGTCACTCCACTACACGCAGAAACCTTGATTAGGCTACGTTCGTTGATGGTAAGCCAATCAATCAGAGCATCGGGAAAATATTCGATACACGTTGCTGTGTTTTATGCAAAGTTTGTGTCGTGACAGTTTTATTAGCGGTCAATTTTCTAATATCTAAAAACCAGATGTCGTCAAGTCACTGAAAAGCTGTTTTCGCTTTCAAGATCAACTTAGCAAAATACAATTCTATTCACACAATCTTCAGAATCAAAACAATCCCTGATGGAATAATACACCTGATTGCATGACAATTAGATTCGTGCTTGTGTCACCAATAGACCCAGAAATTGCACTTCCTCGTCGAGAACATGGGGTCTCCCATTCCACAGCTGAAGAGCCGCCCGAAGCGCATCGAGTTGCTGACCACGGCGTTCACCAGAACAGTGCCGTCCCGC